CAAGAAAAGTTTCCTTCTCTCTCTGTCTCTAATGATCTCCATCCGTAGAATCTTCCAAGCGGCTCCCAGATCCTTCATCTCAAACTCAGCACTAAGTAAACCCTTCAGCTTCTGAATGTCATACTTCTTCTTTGCAGCTATCAGCATATCATCTACATAAAGCACCAGATAGATGAATGAATCATCCTTGAGCCTATTGTAGTAGACACAACAATCATATGAGCTCCGAGTATAGCCCAACTTTACCATATAGCTGTCAAACCTTTTGTACCACCTCCTTGGAGACTGCTTAAGTCCATATAAGGACTTCTTCAACTTGCAGACGTGATTTTCCTTCCCTGGAACTTGGAAACCATCCGGCTGAGTCATGTATATCTCTTCCTCCAACTCTCCATGTAGAAACACTGTCTTTACATCAAGTTGTTCAAGCTCCAGATTCTAATGTGTAACTATCGCTAGTAACACTCGGATGGAAGTATGTCTGACCACTGGTGAGAAGATCTCATTGTAGTCCACTCCCTCTCTTTGGTTGAAACCTCTGGCAACAACCCTGGCTTTATACTTGACTCCTTCTGCTGGTGATATCCCTTCTTTCTTCTTGAAAACCCATTTACAAGTAATAATCTTTCTCCCCGAAGGCTGTATGACCGAATCCCATGTCTGATTCTTGTGTAGGGGCTCCATCTCATCTCCCATAGCAGCAAACCATTTTTCAGAATCAGGACTTAAAATGGCTTCTTTGTAAGTAGACGGCTCAGATGTATCTACCTCTTCAGCAACCTGCAATGCATAACCCACCATGTCCTCAAAACCATACCTCGTAGGTGGCCGAACTCCAACCCTCCTTGGCCGATCTTGAGCTATACTCTGATGGATATATGATGGCACAGATTCTGGAATATCAGTTTCTGTCTGTGTCTCTTGATCCTCCTCTTCAAGTTCTTTCAAATCGCTCTCGTTCTGAATGACTTGAAACTCCACCTTTTTATCAAGACTCCCCATTTCTGACATAGTTGTAGGCTTCACAATGGTTCTAAGCAGAGAACTTTCATCAAAGACAACGTTCCTGCTCATAATAACCCTTTTTTCTGCTGGAGACCAGATTCTGAAACCTTTCACTCCATCTCCGTAGCCCACAAATACTGCCTTTTTAGCTCTTGGTTCTAACTTACTTTCACTGACGTGATAGTAAGCCGTACAACCAAAAGCTTTCAGATTTGAATAATCAGCAGCTTTTCCTGACCACATCTCCATAGGTGTCTTGCACTGTATGCCTGTATGTGGTCCGCGGTTAACCAAGTAGCAAGCTGTACTAACCGCTTTTGCGCAGAATCTTCTATCTAGCCCAACATTACAGAGCATGCACCTTGCTCTCTCCAGAAGTGTTTGATTCATCCGCTCAGCTACACCATTCTGCTGTGGTGTATTTCTGACTGTACGATGTCAAGCAATCCCTTCATCCTTACAGAATTGATCAAATTCAGACCAGCAGAATTCCAGCCCATTATCAGTTCGCAATCTCTTGATCTTCTTCCCTGTTTGATTTTCCATCAAAATTTTCCACTCCTTGAACTTCTGGAAAGCTTCACTTTTATGCTTCATCATGTACACCCAAGTCATCCTTGAGTAGTCATCAATAATGGACACAAAAAATCTGCAGCCTCCCAAAGACTCAACACGGCATGGACCCCAGCAATCAGAATGGATATAATCAAGTGTGCCTTTTGTTCTGTGAATGGCCTTTGGAAACTTGTTGCGATGTAGTTTTCCAAAGACACAATGTTCAAAAAACTCTAGGCTCTTAATCTTATGACCAGCAAGAAGATCCTCCTTTGACAGAATTTGCATCCCTCTTTCACCCATATGACCAAGTCTTATGTGCCATAACTTAGTCATATCCTCCTGGTGAACTTCTGACGATGCAACATGGGCTGAACCTATAACCGTGGAACCTTGTAGAAAATACAAAGTACCACGCATGACACCTTTCAGAATCAGACTTGAACCCTTCCAGACCCGTAAGACTCCATCTTTTCCCAACCAGCTGAATCCCTTGCTGTCCAAAAGACTGAGAGATATCAGATTTTTCGTCATCAATGGAACATGCCTGACCTCGTTCAATGTGCAGAAGCTACCGTCATGTGTCCTTATCTTTATCGAGCCTGTCCCAACCACCTTGCAGACAGAACTGTTGGCCATCGAGATGCTGCCTTCGTCTACCTGCTCATAAGTCGTGAACCACTCTCTCCTAGGACAGATGTGATAGGATGCCCCAGAATCGAGAACCCACACATCTGAATGATGAGTGTGCTCATCCGCAACTAGGGCAATGTCTTCTTCAGAATTGGTGTCTTCTTCAGCAACAGCAGCAAAAACTGATTGTTTTTCCGATTGCTTCTTCTTCTTCGGACAATCAAATTTCCAATGTCCCTTCTCCTTGCAGTAATTACAAACATCATCCAGCTTTGCACCCTTTGACATTGGCTTATTTTTCTTTCCGCCGTTTTTCCTTCCCTTTCCGCTACTGGTGAACAACCTGGAAGGTTGTATGTCCGTACTTGTGCCGTTAGCCTTATGCCGTATTTCCCTGCTATGAAGGGCCGATCTGACTTCTTCCAGCGACACAGTATCTTTCCCAACAATGAACGATTGAACAAAATTCTCAAACGACATTGGGAGAGATACTAACAGAATTAGGACAGCATCTTCATCCTCGATCTTCACATCGATATTACGCAATTCTAATAACAAAGTATTCAATTGCTCTAAATGTTCCCTGAGTTGTGTACCTTCAGCCATTCGTAAACCGAATAGACGTTGTTTCAGAAGCAGCTTGTTGGTTAGAGATTTTGTCATGTACAAACTCTCCATCTTCAACCACAGACCAGCAGCAGTCTCTTCATCCGAGACCTCCGTGATGACGTCATCTGCGAGACACAGCATGATCGTCGAGTGCGCCTTTTCCTCCAGAATCGCCATCTCAGGAGTAACGACGGCGTTTTTGTCTTTCGACAACGGCGCCCAGAAGCCTTGCTGTTTCAACAAAGCCCGCATCTTGATCTGCCATAAACTGAAACTGTTCCTCCCTGTGAATTTGTCGATTTTCACGTTCAAAGCAGACATCTCGAATTCTCCAAGAACACCGATTAACCGAGAGTCTTTGATACCAATTTGTTATGCGGAATTTGAGATAATACAAGAAAATATAAATGCGAAAAACAAGACAACAGATTTACGTGGTTCACCAATAAATTGGCTACGTCCACGGGAAGAGGGGGCAGTTTTATTATGGAGAGGCAAAAATAGAATTACAGAATAGGATTTCCCATAGCGTCTATATATAGTGCTAAGCTACGCCCTAACAGGCTTGGGCCCAAAATACAGAATTGACAGATAATTAAGGGCCCAATTCAAGGCATTCAATAGGGAGCTCATGAAAATGGTCAAGAACATGCATTCATCTTGTTTTGAGCTTTCTTTAGAGGATTTTGTTGAGATAGATGATCGGGTATGGGTTTCAAATGGGAATGAGTCATTTAAAAGAAATTCGAATTTATTTTTGTTGATATGGTGATTACGTCTAAGTAGGAGTTCGGATAATAAGTTTCATAATGGTGAGGGCATAACTGCATTGTATTAACGAAGAGTAAACCTAACTATTATTAAACGAAACATGAGGAGTAATTCTGTGTATCTTTGAATATTCACCCTTTTTATTTTTTTGTATTCAAACGGATAGCTGCAGGATTAGCACTACCAAATCAGAGAAAGTAATGAATTGGTGGAGCCAATGTTGAATAGTAATGCATACCCACGAACAGAAACAGAATATTCAATGGGAAAAAGGTCAAAAATACCGTAAAATTTTGATTCATAGTTTAAATTTATTCTCGCCGTTAAAATGAAGTTAATTTTATCCTCTCTTTACTAATTTCACTAAATCTATCCTTCACATTTAAATAGATGTTGGTTGAAAGATTATAAATACTCTTTTCGTTTCAAAAGGAAAAGAATGATCTTTTTTCTTTTTTTGGTAATATTTTAATTTTAACTTTTCACATGACATGTTTAAGGCCACAAGATTAACGAATACAAAATATAAAAGTCTCTATTATCATTTTCTATAGTTCTGTATATGTCAAATTAGATTATTTTTTGTGAAATAGAGAGAGTAATTCAACTGCCAACCTTCACATTCAAAACCAATTGGACCTTCAATTCAATGCAATCACCTGCGTTTGCTCAGTAAAAGGCTCAATAATGTCTAAATTAAGATAATATTGGTGGAACCGAAGTCTTTGAAATTTTGCGCTCATTTCTGATTCTCAAACCCAATTCTTAATACAACCATACCCTTTAATGGTATCTCTTTTATTGTCATTATACTCTATGTTATTATTTAATAGGCATAATACATAAATATGCTCCTTAACATGATTTTATTTCATATTTATGTCTTCTAAATTTGGGCATGCACAATCAGATACTCAAACTTGTATAAAATTGAACAAATAGACACAAAAAGACTCATATGTCTATTTGTTCAACTTTATACAAGTTTAAGTTTCTATTTGTGTACACTCAAAGTTGGAGAACATAGATATAAAATGAGGTTTAGTTAAAAAGGTATATTTATGTATTATATCTCTTTAATAATTGTAATTAGGCATAGCTTGAGTCCTCCGGTGTATAATTTTGGTATAGATGAGACTGAGTTTTTTCGGTGTCTAATCTCAAAATCGAGGAGAATGAGTCCTACGATATCCAAAAATAATGCATATTTAGAAGAATCGAGGAGAGTGAGTCCTACGATATCCAAAAATAATGCATATTAGAAGACCCGAGCAATAACATATATAGAAAGAGTAGACATGCCGCATAATGTGACTTTAGCTACTAAAAAAAATACAGTATAACATATTATTCAAGCAACATATATATATATATATATATATATATATATATATATATATATATATATAGAAACAACGTAACGCCACCCCATGCATGTAGCCAAATTAAATTAATATATTTTTTTCAATAACTCAACGCATTACCACTTCTTTTAATGATGCCTTGTGAACCAGTGAGAACTCCATAAGTAGAAAGCTTGACAAAAGCAAAAGAGAAAGCCTTAAAAAATTATCTTGATCAGCTGCAAAACATTGTACATAGGGAGTAGTAAGAAGATGAAAAGGGATTTTAGCGTCGATTTCTGAGAACTCCACGACCGTTGATGGCATTGATGTAGTAGTGATTGTCAAAGGTGAGTGTTGTTGGTTCATTTAGCACAAAGCTAATATTTGAGGTTAAAGAGCCTTTTGGACGACTCAATTTCAAGTATATCTTAAATTCATGTTCATTGGGTTCATCATTTTTTGGGTCATCATATAGCCTGCTTTCGATGTTGTAACAGTGTGTTATTCCAAGTGTGTGTGCACCAACATTTGTAAGGATGATAAGGTGATTCCAACACCTAAATACACACTATCAAACTTGTGTGAATGGACTAATCTAACAATATAGGTTCGTCCACATCCAATTTGGATTTCTCAGATAATATTTTCCTCTCGTAAACATGAAATTCGTACAACTTATAAAAAAATATCAAAACTTATCCAACTCTTATAAGATGTTACGAAAATAAGTAACTAGAATTTATAAACAAGACAAACATCCTAAGACGTTACAGTCGCCCCCATCTGCAGTCGGGCCTCAGCAGCTGGAGGTCGCGCCGCCTCCATCTCCAGCGGCGCTGCATCCAACACAACCACGAATCAGTGGGTCGTGCAGCAGCAGCAGTGGGTCGGCGCCTCCCATCCCTTTGACTCCAGGTGAACGTTTTAATTATTATGCTAGTTTATTGATGATTACTCGATTTACTTTTTTCAGTGTGTCTCATAACTTGAAGAAGGAAACAATAAAACAACAGTACGAGAAGGTGAATGAACCAAGACTTTTATTTGGCATCTAATACATTCTTGTGAGCTATGTTGCTCAAACTTTTCAAATGTATGTCGCACCCGATTGGACGTTAATGCTATGTTGTATTGTAGGTGAAGGAAAGAACTTCCAACTGAAACCACTATAATGTTGGATCTCATGTTATGGAATATGACAACAAAGAAATTAAGCTTGAGAAAGTTTATTTGTACCAAGGATTTGACCCTGCCACCGTGAATCTTCCTGCAAACAAAATTTGGGGAGTGGAAGCGATTTAGAGAGAGAGAGAGTAATGGAGAGAGTTGATTGAAAATAGCTTATTCTATTTCTAAGAGAGAAGCCCTCTATTTATATAAGTAACTTACAACTTTGGCCAATAGAAGTGGCCGACAACATACTTTACACTTGGCCTTATATCTTTCGCAAAACAACAAAATACTTTACATAATAATGGTCTTTACTTTATCTATGGCCGACACACTTTTTACATATGACCCTCTTTTCTGTGGCCGACACAAAACAACAAAATACCAATTTGGGGAGTGGAAGCGGATTTAGAGAAAGAGTAATGGAGAGAGTTGATTGAAAAGTAGCTTATTCTATTTCTGAGGGAGAAGCCCTCTATTTATATAAGTAGCTTACAACTTTGACAGCACCAACTTATTATACAAAAAATTATGAACAATCATATAGAACAAATGCAATATGGAATAGTAGATTAAATAAAAAACGGACACCTAAATCGATAACCGAACAATATAACTTTTTAGATCTAGATTGTGTTACAGATATAAGTAAGAGTCTGTTTGGCTCAGCTTAAAAGCTGGTCAAACTGACTTAAAAGCTGATTTTTGACTTATTTGACTGTTTGGCAATACTCAAAATAACTTATTTTAAGTTAAAAAAACTTATTTTAAGCCAAAAGTTAAAAGCTGCGGTAGGGGTGCTTTTTTTTTCAACTTATAAGCTGTTTTAAGTTGACCACATTTTTACCTTTTTGCTCTTAATATTCTTATACAATCTCCAAATTACCCACATAACCCTAACATCTCTTTCTTCTATTTTTCCCTTTTCGCGTGTGGATGATAGACAATTACTATTACTAATGAATGAAAATAAAATAAATCTTAAATCTTCAAGTGATCTATTCAAATTATATATTATTAAAATGTAAAACAAGTTGCACATATAACTTAAATAAAAATTTATATTCCTCTTATAAATAATTTGTGATGATAAAGAAAGATGTGAATGATAGACAATTATTATTACCTATTGATGAAACTAAAATAAAATCTTAAATCATTCTTTAATCTATTCAAATTATATATCTTTAAAATCTATAATAAGTTTATATTCCTCTTATAAATAATTTGTGATGAGAAAGAAATATGTGAGTGATAGCAAAATATAATTATTTATGGCTGTAAAATATAAGTTAATTAACTTTTATTATGTTAACAGCTTTTAAGGGTATTTCAGACATTTTGATTTAAAAAGTTGTTTATCAGCACTTATTTGCCAAACACATCAACAACTTTTTTTTAACTTCAGCACTTTTATCCAAACGCATAACTGCTTATTTTAAAAATAAGTTTCAGCACTTTTAAAAGTACTTTTTTAAAGCTGCTTTTATTAAGTCCATCCAAACGGGCCCTAAAGCAATACTACTATGGCTAGGAAATATATCTAAACAACTAAATGATAACAAAATTCATTTCCTGATTTATTTTTTCACTTCCTTTTATCGATGCTATAGGTTTACGTTGTTTGTTATTTACTCTTTTTGCTCTTATTTTATTTTCACATGGTGTAGTAAACCACCAATGTGTTTTTGTTATAATATGTGGGTAAAATGTTCTAGAAATGGCATTCCTAATAACATATCTTTTGTTTTGTTTTTAATATATATAGATTTTTACATCTTACTGTAAATATTTTATTGCTTGGTGCTAATTTTATTCGAGACATTTTCCAATATAAAACTAATGATTTATCTATATTCCTATCTGTTAATGCTACTGAGTAGTTGGCACTTATTATAAATTTAAATTTTTGGTATATTAAGTTTCCTTTTACTGCACTAATTACGCTTTTTTCTATAGGATGTATAATTCTATCATCTGCTAAGTATATTTTGCACGACTGGAGCTTGTGAACCAGAGGGATACTGATCTTCTCTTCTTATGGGAAAGAGTAAGTTTTAAATATCTTTGTATTATAATCTGTGTAATTTCACTATAAATTTCAGTAGGATAGGAGAGGGATTAAGATTCATCGAAGTAGAAATGTTTGGTTGGTCCTATAGAGTGGGATGGAGTGGTATATACAAGATTGTCTAGTGACTATAGTTTCATTTGTGTTCTGTTTTATCTGATGACCGTTCTTGAAATGGAAGAATTCTTTTGTATGGTAGTTCATTATTACCTGATCCTTTTATGTACATCCAGATTATAAGATGTAGCCAATAATTTTATTGAACTAGCGCTTGAATTGGAATTTGGAAGTTACAAATTCAACCTATCCCCAAATTTGAAATACATGAGCACCCGTTTTATAGTTCTGCTTGGTGGTATATCATTTTGATTTGGTCTTTGTACATGTTTTCTTGGTCTATATAGTATAAGAAGCTGGAAGACAATTCACTCGAGAAGGCAACATCTTGATGGGAGCAGAGATGCAGTTGGAGTCGTTTTTTGGGTCCAATAAAGGGTGGTTCTGTTCTCAGCTCTGTCCGAAAACCTGGTCTACCTCTCCTGGATGATTGGGAATGCCTAAAATCAACGGTAATCCAAGAGTCTGCTTTTGCAACGTAGTAAATGGTTGTTAAAAGTTATGATTTGCATGACATGAGTTGATACTGTTTTATCTTCACTAGGTTCGCCTTTTCGAGGCACATTGTGGTTCACTAACGCAATATGACATGAAACACATGAGAGCATTTGCAAACATTTGCAACAATGGTATCTCAAGAGATGCTATGGAGGAAGCTTTTATGGCTGCTTGCAATGGACATAGTTTAGAGGAGTATACCACTGCTAACAGAGGCTTTAGCGCATGATGATCGATAACCCAAGTGGTCTTGATTTAGCCAGACGTACACTGAACAAGAATTGCCTAGATAGTAATTTAGGTCCCTATATGCTCTTCCTTTTGAGTAGTGTATTATAGATATCATGGTTTTTGTTTAATATAGAATTATGTTGAAGGTGAGTTGCAATTGAGTTTATAAGAGAATATTAGTAAATGTATTGCTTCACTTGATTTTTGTAAGCTCTTTGAGCTTGATTTGGGTATTGAATTAAAATGACAGGTGATGAAAAGTCACAGAAATAATAATTAACTGTCAATTTTTTCATGAGGTCTCTTTTTTGCATTAAATTTTTCAGAAATTTCATGATAGAGACCTCATGAGGTCGCTATTTAACACTTTATATTTTATAAATGTAGAAAAGAAACCTCATGAGGTCTCTTTTTTGCATTATATTTTTCGAAAATTTCATAACAGAAATCTCATGATGTCGCTATTCAATAAATGCAGAAAAAGAGATCTCATGAGGTCTCTCTTTTAAAATATAAAATCAAAATTAAATAATATAATAGTGACCTCACGAGTTCTCTTTTTTAAAATAAAAAATTAAATTAAATAATATAATAGTGACCTCATGAGGTCTCTTTTTTAAAATATAAAATTAAATTAATTAATATAATAGTGACCTTATGAGGTCTTTTTTTAAAAAAAAAACGAACAATTTATTGGTGACCTCGTGAGGTCTCCGTTCGGCGACCTCATGAGGTGTCTACAAAAAAGTGACTTGTATTATAGTGACCGACCGTTGAGGTCTCTTTTTAGGTCTCTTTTTCGGAGACCTCATGCGGTCTCTTTTTGACCTTTTTTTTAGTAGTGTAATTTCTTATTAACTAGAACTAATTTTTAGTTTTATAAATAATAACAATATTATTATGTGAACTTAAACCTTAGCGCTTTTGAAATTATAAACAAAAGAACAATTAGTAAGTAAAAATAAAAGGCAACTCTAAATATAATATTTTTGTACGTGTGTAAATATTTTAAGGCCTTAGCTAAATTTGATATATTTATGAAACTTTTAAAAAAGTATCTTAGCTAATTTATATTTTCTTTGAGAATAATATAGGAATAATCAAAAGGTAGCCTTTAATCTTTGTTTTCAGGATGTACCATATCCCAACATGTCATCAACCATCATGTCTCAAAAAAATCAAGAAATTAAAAGAAAAAAAATATCCATGTAATCTTATCTATAAGAAGAAAAAAAAAAGTAAAATATTAGGCAAATGAGAAATAGTGCAACAAAAAAGTGAAAAACTGTTTTTGATCAAAATTTTCATCTTTATCACATAAGAGATCTCCTCTAATAGGTATAGAAATTTATCACAATCTTTCTCAATATCATTTATGAAAACACATTAAAAGAATTTCTTTTTAAAAAAAAAACAAATTAAAAATAAATAATGTTAAGATAGTAGAACCCACTTTTGATTGCCACATTCTCCTTAATTAATTACAGTATTTTTATTTTAATGTTTATGATTATCCTCATACGAATCTTCTAGCATTTGTTGCCTCTAACTAATGCTACAAAATATTACATATCAATCAATGTACCCTTGCATTGAACTAATTAATTACTAGATCTAAACCCTACACCCAGCTTTGTACAACAATATCCATATAAAACCCTTTTAAAACAACAAAAATCACATTTAAGTAATGTTGATAGACAAGGTGTCTCAAACTTTGTAAATTTTTGGAAAAAAATGAAAGTTACAAGCACAAATAAAACTAATACCTAGGCATTCATTTTCACACTAACTAAAACAATTTTGAAAATATATTTTGTATATATTATAAAGTCATCATGTGTTAAGAAATGAAAAAAATGAACCTGAACTTGGCAATCATGAAATATAAGTCTTAAGAGAGCAGGAGTTGTAGAATCAGTGATAGACAGATTGAACACCATCTCTAACAATATTTTTTCCACTTTTGGACAAACTTCATTATAGAAAACATAAAAGATTTGCCCTTCAACTTGATCATTATTATAACTACAAAAGAATAACATTACCAATGCTATTTTTTATCATATGCATTTTACACATTGTTTTTTCAAAGAGAGGTAGAAATAATAAATTTATTGTCTTCATACTCTACAAA